TTTCGCATCGTTCCGTCCATTTCCATAGAGAGTTGTTCTCTAACAACTGGTTCAGTCTGTAGTCGTAATTGACTAGCACCGGGAACAACTTTACTTCAGCTACATTGTATGGGCGAGGCGCTTTCAAAACTGCTTGCACTTTCTCCGGTGACTTGTGGCTGGGACAGGCACATTTTGTGTGGCCCATTCACTCCCCTCCACTTTAGTGAGAATACCTTCATTCTGGAGTGTTCACAGCTCTTTTTCCAACTTTGGCCTAAATGCTTCTGGCATGAGTCTAATGTCGAGGAACTGTGCTTAGCTACCAACTTCAAGAGTTAACTTCCCTTTAGCTGATGAAAGGGTGCTCAGTTTATTTTCAATAACATCTGAGTACTTGTCTAGCATAACGTCCAAACGCTCTTTAGGACTTGAAGTAGCTAGTGAAGCCTGCAGCAACTTGATAGAGCCAATCTCTTCCCAAGAGAGCAGGGCCATCATTCTTGACAACATACAGGTCCAGCAACTCTCTTTGGGTTTGGCAATGCACAGGCACATTGAGCACTCCCACTGGCATAATATTTTCTCCGCTGTAGGTTTTTCAAGGACGGTCCAGTATTGTGCAGGGTAAGCCTGTTAAATTTCTGCTGGTAGAGATCAAACGAGATGATTGACACAGCCATACATGTGTCCAGTTCTATCTTAAGTGGTTTACCATCAACATCCAAATCAACCCAGATAATATCATTGCTCTGTTTCCTTACATTGCCTACCTCGAGGGTGCCTAAGATGTCTTCATAAGCATCAACTTCAACCTCAACAGGACGTACGTCAGGGGTTTTGGTTGCTCGCTAACTGTGTTCGTTAATTGATTTTTTAACCAGTTAAGCTATTTGAGCTAGTTATGCTTTTTGTTTGATTAGCTAGTCTGACTATTTGTACTACTTGAACCAATGAAGATAGTTGGTCCGATTTGTTCATTTTAACTGTGTTCCCTGTTTGACTATTTAACTAGTTGAATCAATTTACCTAGTTTGACCATTCTAACCACTAGATTCAATTATGCTACATCGCTAGACCGATCGCTAGCCGTTAAGATTTATCTTCCATCCACGAAGGAGCGTTCCAGTAATTACAGTAGCCAGGCTTCGGCGCTATGCATCATTCATGGATGGCTACGACCACCAGTTCGGGTACAAGAATACTAAATGGCCTTTCTCGGCTACCACTTAAAACCAAAGAAAGGGCAAGAAAGAGAAGAGAAGCCCAAAGGCCCCCTGTCCTGGGTCAAGTCCATGAGATGGTGGGTAAAGGATGGCTAACCAGCCATGTTCCTGTACTCAACCCCTTCTACGCTCGCAGGGATGAGATAAGAGCACACTTAGGCTGTTTGATGCAGGAAATCAGAGTCATTGTACCCCCAAAACTTTGTCCACAAGTGCTTGAAGAACTCCATCGAGGACATCTTGGAGGGATGAGGATGAAGGCCCTACCAAGAAGATACATCTGGTGGCCAGGAATCCACAAGGAAATCGAGGAAGCCGCGAGGACCTGCTAGGGTTGGCAGCTAATGGAGGCTGAACCTAGTACCGGAGCTATACATCTACGCGAATGGCCGTCTGCACCCTGACAGCGAATACATGTTGATTTTGCTGGACCTTTCCTCGGCTGCATGTTTTTTATTGTTAGGGATGCCCATTCGAGAAGACTGGAAATGGAAAAAATGGACACCACGACCTCAACGAAAACCATTGAGGAATTGCAGAGTCTATTCACTAGATATGGTGTGCCATCCCAGTAAGTTGGTGACAATGGGTCACAGTTTACATCTTGAGGACTTTCAGATGTTCCTCAAGAGATACGGAAGCAAACATCTTTCACTTGCAACATACCATCCTGCTAGCAATGGTCTAGCCGAGCACTGTGTGCAAAGTTTTAAATCAGCTATGAAAAGTGAAACGGAAGTAAAAAGGTGATAGAAACACAAATAACAACCGTAATAAGACCTCGCACACACTCACTTCTCAAATACTAATGCTGTTAATAGGGTATCTAGTGAGAAAAGATACAGAAAGAAAAGTGATGATAACCAATTGTTGAAATTGGGAATTGGTATCAGATGGGATGCTGATGGTAAGGCCATTTATGACCTCAGTGGAACACAATATGATAATGAAGCTGTAACCTTAAGGCAGATGAAACACGTCACAGGCAAGAAAATAGATATGGACAATCTGTTACCCCAAACATTAAAATGCAGGTTGTTAATACCAGATTATGACAGCAGTGAAAACGGCGATAAAGATGAGGTTAACAAGAAATATGCTGACAGGAAAACTTTTACCTAAGACGTATCAATAAGGTCTTGATATGAAAGGCAATGAGTGATCAATGTTGGTGATGTTAACTTTTTTCAATACAGGGCGACCCAGGTTCTAGTCCTGGCCGGGGCAAGGCGTTGTGCCCTTGAAGCGTGCGGGGAGAAAAAAAAATGCGAGATCTACTTTTAGGCTTGGCTAAATCTATATATTTGCCTTTCACATGATAATAGTAATAGTATAATGGTAGGATTTCTCACAAGTGGAGCTAGTGATTTAATATCAAATAGGGCCCATTTCTCTTTCGAAACATCAACTGGTCATGTAACTCTTGACATACCTGTTATTTATGAGATACACTTTCAAGACAGATACAAAGGCCCATCTTGTAATATACATATAAATCCTCGGAGCGTCAATCCTAATATTTTGTTCGTCTATATATTGAAGACACAAACAATAAATGTACGGACATTACTGTTTTTTTATCCCATTAGTGTAACTGCTGAATTTGAAGTAAGGATTCAAACAGCTCAAGGAATGTCGGATGGTGGTTCTTACGGTCAGATTCTTATTAATAAATCAGTTAATTGAGTATAATCACATATTATATGTATGGTTATTTTTTCTGGTGCTGATACAAGACTGACAAAACAGAGTAATTAGTATACGTGGTCCACCAGGCTTTGGAGGGTCTTAAAAACACCCATCATATCATTGAACAAAAACCCAATAAGTGAAATAACATTATTATACAGACACTATCACAAACGGCTCCGATTGTATAAAGAAGCTTATAAGAGGTTCAAGACACCAGATCTGTTATGCAATATGTCATCGTCTTGTTTAATAGTGGGTGGTACTCTGGGTGGAGGGGTAAGTACAAGTCCCATCGTAGTTGGCATTATACTTGATAGTGCTTTGATATGAAAAACGAACTGTGAAATGAAAGATTTTAAAAAGAAGATCGAATTCTGTCGATTTGCTTTTGTTACCTGTGTAAAGACACTCATTAAGTTAAGGTTCTTTTTAAGAGGAGTGTCATTTGATAAGGAGAGTTATTTGGACCAATCGAAAACTAGATCATATTATCATAGACATGTGTTCACTGGCTGATGCTTTAGAGCAACAGTTCGAGAAGTAGTTTACCTCTGCTTAATTAATTATTACGTATTTTGTTTTGGTCATTACTAATTAGTTTCAATATAGTGTTCTAGTAGCTGTGATAATATTTAAGGGTTTTTTTTTATTTGATTATCTTTTTGTAATCTATATTGATTTGCATATCATTTGATATCGCAATGAAGTTGATATTAATCATCCGTTTTTTTATTGCCATTAATCTGTGGTAAAACGTTGTCTATCTTTTCAAAGACTGTTATGATCTTATTTTTGCTCTTTGTTGTTATCATTATGTCATACTATTTGGTTAGATTAAATGTTACCTTATTAAGATAGTATTTCCCGAAATACTGAAGTATTATTTCACACTTATTATCATGGAGGCTGCAAAACTCTTTCATTGGTTCGTAGCCGTCTACTTGCCCACAATCGGTGCACACAATCACATGGTGTTTATTCTGGAAGCACTGTTCCTCCCAACATTTTTCTGCAATGACTGATCGTTCCTTTATTTGTTTATAACAGAAGGGAGATATAACCTTGTCCAATTCACCATGAATTATTTGATCGATAAACATTATATTATAATACTACATAAATATTACATGCTAAAATATTATCAGGGGTTATCCTCGGTTTCCTTAAATTGTATTTGATCTGAAGTAATTCCTCTTCTGCCTCTAATATGTTGCCATCATCAAAATATCTTGTTTATTTTGTATAAATATTAGGTATGAGTATTTTGTATAGATATCGTCTTGGTCATCAAAGTAAGAAGCATCATCATTTAGTTCACTATCATCTATAAAGCTACTCTGATAACTATCATTACGATCTGAATAATCGTCTGGACTATTATATACATAATCACCATCTTGGCTACTATGATAACTAACTATCATCTGGATATGCTTGCTCATATTCCGTGTATACCAATACATTCAATAAAAATAAAAAAGAAATGTCCAAGAATTGTGATAGCACATTCACTCACTCATGCCCATCATGCCGTGTGGCACGTAGGGCGGCTATGAAGGATCGCAACGTGTGTCGGTTCCGGGCCAGCTTCTGGATGGTACCCCAGGTGTGTTGCATGGCCTCTTCTTCTTTCCTTCAGGTGTTTAGTGAAGGGCTGTGCGAGTGATGTTCTCCTGCTCTCTCCTCATGACCTCCCCAATCCATCTCCATCACCTTCGCATGATGATGGTCTCCATGCTGTCTCGATTGCAGCGCGCAAGTAGCCGTTGGCTAGAGATGGTGTCAGGCCAAAAGACTCGCAGGATTCTCCTGGGGTTCTTTGTGTGGAAGACTTACAGCCTGGTGATTTTGCTCTCTGTCGTCTTCCAGCATTCAGAGCCATATCATAGCGTGGACGTCACACAGCTTTGGTAGATCTTCAGCTTGGTCTTGGTGCTGTACCGAGAGGACTTCCACACGTTGTTGAGCATTCTGAAGGCGTTTCTGACCTTGTTGAGACGGTTCTTGATGTCACTCCCTCCTCCTCGATCATACCTTACCGTGCTTCCCAGGTAAGTGAACTCCTCAGGTGTCGTCAGGTCTTCTCTGTTAACATGAACTGGTTTAGGGCTGGAAACGTTCAACAGCATCACTTCTGTATCCTTTTGGCTGACCTTCAGGCCAACTTGCTATGCGTCGGGTTGTCTTTTCCTGCACGTCTTCCTGAGTATGAGAGACCAACGCCAGATCATCTGCAAAATCTAGGTCCTCCATCGTTGGGAAGAGGGTCCATCTGATACCTCGTGACCGATCTTCTGTCGTGCGCCTCATTACTACGTTAATGGTCCTGTGGAAGAGCATCGCGGACATTGTACAGCCTTGTCTGACGGCAGACCTCACTTCAAAGCTGGTTTCGCTGCTACTCTGCATGTGGAAGTAGTTGCAGAAGCCTTTGATGATGTCGATAATCTGTTGTGGCATCCCATTGGCCCGAAGGATGCGCCACAGACCTTCCCGGTGCACGCTGTCAAAAGCCTTCTCAAAGTCTACAAGTTGATATAGAGTTGCCTCTGGCACTCTGTGTACTGCTCTATAATGTTACGCAGGATAAAGATCTGGTCTGTGCATCCCTTTCCTTTCCAAATGCCTGCGTGCTCTCTTCTCAGGTGTTGGTCCACTGTCTCGGCTATTCGCTGGATGATGATCTTGGCCAGGATCTTGCTGGGTACAGATAGTAAGGTGATTCCTCGCGACTTGTTGCAGGTTTTAAAGGGCACCTTTCTTCGGAATCTTTACAATGACTTCCTCTGTCCCATCTTCAGGCAAATTCTTCTCCTCCCAGATGTCCCTAAGGAGCGGCTGAAGTAGGTCAGCTGCTAGCTGTGGATCTGCTTTAAACACTTCTGCACTGAGATTGTCCTGTCCAGGGGATTTTTCGTTCTCGAGAGACTTGATGGCTGTTCTGGTCTTTTCCTGGGGGATTAGTGTTGACATCCAGGTCTCTCGCTGCCTCTTGTATATCTGCTTCTGTTGGTGGTGGTTTGTTTGTTCCGAATTTCACTCTGTCTTGCTCTCCCCTGCTTGCTACATCTTCTGCCTGGCTTGCAAGCTCGTTTATGAGTATCTGCTTGTCTGTTCTTGTCACTCTCTTCACTATTTGGCTCGCTTCCCTCTACTGTTGATTGTATCTCTCTTTCTCTTGGCCTCAAAGACTTTCTTCTTCAGAGTTCTTCTGTCTTCGATGGCTTCCCAGGTATCCTCTGTGATCCACTTCTTCCTCTTCCTCTGCTTTGTTCTAAGGCAGGCTTTGCAGGTCTGCTCGTAGGCTATCTTCAGCTGTTACCACTTTGTATTGATGTCTCTCGAGCCTTCCAGCGTCTGGTCTTCAGCATCTGCCAGTACCTGGAACTTTTTCTGCCGCTGAAGTATGAAGGCAGTCTTTACCTTAAGGTCTCGCAGCTTCTCCACGTCAAAGTGTTGCCCCCCGCTCAGCTAGACTGGATCTGGTATTCCTCAGCTCCAGCTTCAGTGTGGTGTTGTTGTCACTTCCTGCAGCAGCTCCTCTTCTCACTCCGACGTTTGGCAGTGATCACCTCCATATCCCGTTGATGATCAGGTGGTCAATCTGGTTCTTGTCTCTTCCATTGAACGAGTACTAGGACAGCTTGTGGACGTCTCAGTGTGGAAAGAGCGTCCCTCCAATGACAAAATCAAAGGCGGTCTCGATGTCCAGTAGCCTCTCTCCATTGTCCTTCATGGTGCCACATGCTTCTCTCCCCATGGCCCTTTCGTAGTTCCTGTTGTCATTTCCAACATTTGCCTCGAGATCTCCCATCAAAATCTTCATCGCACGACGCAGTGTGTTCTCCAGTTCTGATTCAAGCTCTTCGTTGTCTTACTCACTGTCGTTTGTTGGTGTGTAACACTGGATGATAGTTGTGTTGATGTGTCTCACTTTGAATCTCACTTTTAGGAGCCTGCTTTTGATTGGCTTCCACTCCAGCAGGCACTCCTCGAGATCTTTCTTGAGGATGATGGCTGGTCCCTTATGGCGCTGGTGATCTCCTCCGGAATATAGAATTGCCTCTCCTGTGATGGTTTTGCGTCTGCCAGAACCTGTCCCTCTGCTCTCACTCATTCAAAGGACTTGTAGGTTGCAGCGTCCCATCTCAGTCGTGGCTTGTGCCAGCTTTCCTGTCTCGTGCAAAGCTTTTACATTCCAGAATCCAATGCCAGTCTTGCATTTGGCACTCAAGACTTCCATCTTCCTGTCAGCGGCTTCCTTTCGGCTTTAACCACGGTCATTCCTACGAGTATCTTTGGATGACTCTAAAAGCCCGTCTTGCCCGGTAGTGTGGATTTTCTTTGTTGCCGTTTCCGTAACATGGGAGTTTTATGGGACAAAGTTGTTAGCCCTCTGCCCAACCCCCTATCCTGGAGGACCAGAGGATTGCGTTTCGTCGGACCTCTACCCTCGGACCTTTCCTGCTTAGGTGGCCCTACCAGGAGACGAAGCTCCTGCCGGCATAGCTCTATCAAAGGCACCAAAGGCACTCAAGCCCGCCGACCACGACAAGGTGGCGATCTTTCAGGGACGTGATAGCATATGGATTCCAGGAAATGATAAATATCACATGAAAAAACCAGCCTTAAATAATCGCACAATAATAACAAGACAGATATCTGGTGAATATGCGTTTAAAGCCCCAAGCACTATACTACTATCCTAACTAGTTAAACCACTTGGGATAGATTGTGCGGTTTGCGCAATGGAATTATTAGCCAGCTTAAATGCTTCAACTACTTAATTAGTCAAGCAAGCAAACACAAATAAACTGTACAAATTGCAAAAGATATTTTAATTAGTGAAAGTAAATCACATGGTAAAAGAAGCCTAAACGGTTCGACTGGACAAAAACCATAATTAGCTTAATTGGTATTAACTGCACAATCTGAACAATTGAGCTGAAATGGTTCAAATGGTTTAACAGTAAAAGGTCAACCAAGAAAACTTGCACGATCTGTCTCAACCGGTTGGAGTACTTTTAATGGTCAAATTAGCTTCAATCAATGAACGGTGCAAACTGCGCGATCTAGCTTAGTTTCTTGAAGTATTTAAAACAGTCAAAGTATTTTCATTGATTCGACTTGTAAAATAGTCAAACCAGTAAACAAAGTCAAACTGCACAGATTGCAGCATCTTTCTCAATTGGTTCAAGTAGTTGAAATGGTCCAACTGCACAAAATGCATAACTAGCCGAAATGGTTCCATCGCACAAACTGCACAATCTACCTTTAGTGGTTTGACTATTTAAGATGGTAGCATGACACTTGGGGCCTTTTAAGCACATTCACCAGATATCAGGTATTCTTTGTCATTGTTGCGCAGTAATTTTGCGCCGGCCTTTTTTTTTGTTTTTTTATAATCCTTATTATTTACTGGAATCCGACTGTCTTACAGAGGTTGACCATTCGACGGGTTGAATCATTTTAAGATAGTGTCTGGCCATTTGAAAAAGCTTTATCAATCAAGATAGATTGTGCAATTTGTGAAAATTGTGCAGTTAGTGTCTTAGCTACCTTGACTATTTTAACGAGCTCAACTAATGAAGCGTGATCGTGCAGTTCATGCAGTTGATCCTATTAAGCTACTTATGCATCTTTTTTGCGTGTAAATCAACGAATCGAGTGTGACCATTTGAACTACATGGACCATTTGACATAGATAGTGCAAATCGTGCACTCTCCCTGTTTTTGCTAGGTTGATTATTTCACAATTTCAACCAGTTAAACTAGATTGAGGAGTCTGTGCGGTCGAACCTATAAAGCTCGCTATGCATTTTGTCCTCTTCAACAGTTTAAGCTAGTTTGAACATTTGAACTTATTCAACCAGTCGAGATAAACTGTGCAATTTGTGCAGTTTTACTGTTTTGGATAGTTTAATTAACTAGTAAAAAACTTTGAAATAGTCAAGTCAGCGAAGATATGCAAATACAGAAATTCAACAATGCTATCTCCGTTGGTTGTAGGGGTTCAAATGATCAAACTAGCCAAAAAAAGGTCAACCGGACAAAATGCATAAGAAGGTTAAATAGTTCAAACGGTAAAATAGTGAAACTATTGCAAACAGCAGAACTGCACAGTCTACAGAATCTTTGTCAACTGGTTAGACAGCTTCAAATGGTCAATCTAACCTTAAATTACTGGAGTGGACAAAATTCAAAACGCATAAGTCGCCTTAATGGCTCAACGGGCTAAATGTCATTAGGGCAACAACAGTTAAACTGCACAAATCGCACAATCTATCTATTTGGTCGAAGTAGTTAACATGGTGAAACTATCTTAAAGGCCTTGAGGATCAACAGCCCAAACTTCACAATCTGACTTAAGTGGTCGAAGTAGTTTATATGGTTTAACTACCTTCAGTGCTTCAACTGAAGAAAATTACTAGAGTATTCAGTTCAACTGCACAATTTCAACAATCTAGCTCAAATACTTCATTTGGTTTTAAAGTCAAACTAAGGTCACCTGACTAAGACTAAGACTAAGACTTTTTTGATGGGACACAGCTAAGAAGAGCGTAATTCATTGGCAAAGAAGCCAATTCAGCTAGTTTGTCCAGTGTTTCTGCGTTTCACTGTTTTCGCTTGTTTCATTGCTAAAACCATTTGACCAAATTTCTGCATTTTGACTAAGTAATTTAAGCTAGTTATTCTTTTTGTCCGATGAAACCCTGACATTAAGCTTGTTTGACTATCTTAGCTACGTGACAGTTAAACCATTGATACTTGATTAAGCAGTTTGTGCAGTTGAACTGATTAAGGTAGTTATGCTTTTTGTCTAGTTGAGCAACATCAGCTAGTTTGACCATTTGTACTAATTCAAGCACAAAGATTTTGGAATCTGTTCAGTTTAACAGTCTTGGCTCCTTTGACTAGTTAACCAGTTGGATTAACTAAAAGACTCTAATTACCGGTACTTTAACTACTGCAAGCAATTCAGCTAGATTCTGCGGTTTGTGCCGTTTACTCCTCAAAGTCAATTTGACCATTTAAAGTACTTCAACCAACTCAGACAGATTGCGCAATTTTTCTCAGTTGTCTTCAGTACGTCTGTTAAACCCGTTGAATTAATTGAACTTAATTGTTCCAATTTTGCAGTTGAACCGATTAGCCGGTGAAGCCATTTAAGCTACTTATGCGTTTTTTCCAGTTTAACTATTTCAATTTGGTTCTGAATTTTGTCCACTCGAACAAATAAAACTTGACGAACGATTTGAACCAGTCAGTTTGACTGTGTTCCCTTGTTTGACTATTTAACCAATTGAATCGATTAACCTACTTTGACCATTTTAACTGCTGGATTCAGTTCAGCTACATTGTGCATATTGTGCAGCTGAAGCATTTGACCTAGTTTTGCATTTTCTTTAATTCAACAATTAAAGCTAGCTATGAATTATGAATTACTTTGACTGTTTTAACAATTTGAATTAATTCAACTAGAGTTGGCAGTTTGTGCAGTTAAACTTATTAAGATAGTTGTTCATTTTGTCCAGTCAATTTTTTGAAGCTTCTGTATCGAGTGTGTAAGTACTTAAACAAATTAAGATCGGACAATTTGTGCATGTAACTGTCTTCGTCAGTTGGACTATTTAACTGGTTGATTTAATTGAGCTACTTTCTTGATTTTAACTTCTTAAAGGAACTGGGCTATATTTTGTCGTTTGTACACTTCAACGATTGAAGGCAGTTTGACCATTGCACTACTTCAAAAAGTTTAACTGTCTTCCCTAGTTTTACTATTTAACCAGTTGAACCATGTAAGCAGGTCCTGAATTTTTTCCAGTTCAACCATTGAAGTTCGTATGGCAATTTTAACAACTTTAAATAACTAAGATAGATCATGCACCTTGTGCAGTTAAACTGTCTTTGGTATTTTGACTATTTAACGAGTTTAAAAATTAAGCTTATTTTTGCAGTTTGTGCAGCTGATC